GAATAATCTGTAAAATTCCTACGCTTCGTTTGACATCTTTCTTAAATTTCTTTATATACTTTCCTTTTATGCATTCTCTACATTGTTCTAAATCTGAGAACTCTAATGGAGGAAGAATATCATTCTTAACTAGCCTTTCTATTCTCCCCCTCGAAATATGGCCTAAACGACAGTGCCATAATTTCGACGACGCATCGTGAGCTTTCTTATGCCCCATTTCCAGAGTAACTCTCTGTCACCAGCTGCTTTATCAGCTAGGTAGCATATGTTTTTGAAGAGCCAGTGAACTGACTCTTTATTCTATCGAGGTACTCGATGACCGTGTCACACTCTGAGATTGAGCCCACAATTGTAGGCTTAATCGTGTTCTTTATCACAGCCAAACATTTCTTATTGGCAGTGACCCACTTCCTATGCTCAAGGTCATAAGATATCTTTTAGGATTCAAAATCCCTCTCTTTAGTTGCCCAAGCGGCATCAGCCTTGTTTGTCTCCCTCACCGGTGCCACAGGCTCAGTGGGACACGGTGAGGTGACTACCCGGTCTACCTCAGCCAAGATGAAGGCCAGGTCAAACTTTTTCTTAACATAAAAAATAACAACAATTGCATGCCTTGACTCCAACATTGGTCAAAATTAAAACATACAAATGTTCTTATACACTAATTCTACATCACCGTTGGACAGAAATAGAATTAATACATAAAATCATTAAAATTTACAACTGTTCTTATACACTAATTCTATATCACCGTTGGACAGAAATAGAATTAAAGCATAAAATCATTAAAATTACGATATTGTTATTAACAACGTTTGTCAGAAAATAACAATATCATAATCATGTCAAAATCTCTTTTTATCTAATTAAATATCACGTTGGTTCAAAATAACTGGAGAATAAACAATTTCTTTAGCAGCGAAAACAAGAAAAATTCATTATCTATTTTTCAGAAGCATTAAACTTTTCTCAAATATTCTCTAAAAAATTATCCCGTTGGTTCAAATTTTAATAGAGATATTAAACTAGATTTATCGAAATCTGCTTCTAAAAATTAAATAAACTCGGAACTCTATTTACTGTTCATTGTGCCCGACCTACCGCTACAGTACCGGCCCAGCAGCAACAGTGCGCGGCCCAGCCTGCCACAGCAGCCCACGCACGTGCGCTGCCCACACCAAGGCCGCAACGTGGGCCTGGGCCAGCAAAGCGGCCTTCGCTCGCGCTCGCCTGGGCCTGAATCTAGCCCGGTTGATCTGCACCGTTGATGCAGATTGGACGACCACACGCGCGTCTCGGCGGATCAAAATGGCGACCTCAGCGCCTCCGCTGACACCCTTGCATCATTCTCTTCCTACCCTTTCTCTCTCTTCGCCTCTCTCCTCAGCGTAGCGAGCAGCAACCGAGCGAGCGAAGCGGTGGAGCGGGCAGCCATGGCGCCGTCGCCGGCCCCCTCGTCGGCGTGCACGCTCCCCAGCGGGTGAGCGCGCCGCTGTCGAGCGGCCTGGCCGCGGCGCCCCCTTGGCCGAGCCGGTGAGCAGCGCCCCCGGCTCGGCCTTCTTCTCCCCACGCGCCGACGAACCACACTATGGCGGTGTCAGCAACGGTCGAGGCAGGCCTCCCCTTCCCCTTCTGATTTGGGTCTTGTTTGTTCTTCTCGGATTCAACCGATTTGGGGATCTAGGGTTAGGGTTTCTTTTCCCGATTTGATTCGTTCGATTCGGTTCATCTCTTTCATATGGTTTCTTTTCTTTTCTATTTGTACTGAATCGCTCTCTTCCCCTTCCTCGTCGCGAGTTAGGGTTAGGATTCGGTTGAACCCGATTCGGTTTTTCTCTCGATTTTGATTCGAGATCGGCGAGATAAGCCCCTTCCCCTTCTTCTCTTTTGGATCTTCTTTCTTTTTCTTTTGGAGTTGAACCGATTTGGGGTTGGGGTTAGGATTAGGGTTTGACTCACTGGAGTCACTGTTCTTCTTCCCTAGTGAGTGCTTTGTGGGTTAGGGTTCGGCTTTGATACTCTTCTAGGCCGAATCCCTCTTCTTTTGTTCGGTCGAATCCCTCTTCTTTTGTTCTTTCCTTCACCCAGTTAGGGTTAGGGTTAGGGAACCCCTTCTGTCTGCTCAGATCCAAAAGGAGGTCTGTTCTTTTCTTGCCACGCGCCGACGAAGACAGCGGTGTGGCACCTTTCCCCGCGCGGTGGCGGTGGTGACCGAGAGTTCAGTGACGTCCGCCACCCCCTAGTCTCTTTTCAATTTTCTTTTACCTAGTTAGGGTTAGGGTTTCAATCCAAAACGGATCGAACCCTTGTGATTTCTTTGATTTCTTTTCAATGCTTTACCCCATACTAGATCTACACACTGGCAACCTTGGCTCTGATACCATTGTTAGAACAACAGTGCCTCTGAACAGTAGATCGGGGTAAGCATCTCTTACTTAGGGTTCCTCTAGTTCGCCCTGGCGCAGTTGTGGCGCAGCCTCGTGGACGCCGGTGTCGAGGGAGCTCGGCGCGGTGGAGTCTAGCATGGTGGAGATGCTGCAGAGGCGACGACGGAGTCGGTGGAGCTTCCCGTCACTGGCAGCACCCTTCTTTAGATCGGATTAGTGTTTCTCTATAGGTGGTTACAGCGGCTCAGGTCAACCTCGTAGTTTGAGCCCTGATCCCCACCTGTCCTTTTATAGTGCTGTGCGACAGGGACCCACCAACCATATTAGGGTTGAGCGCCCCCGATTAGGGCGCAGATCCAAGGGCCCAATAGGCCGTTGAGCCTATTGATGGAGATCAACTAACACTACGGCGCCGAGCTCGGCGTCATGATCTATGGCACCGAGCTGCCTGCCATGTCACCACCACATCTGCGAGCCTAAGAGCTCGGCGCTAGGGACGCTGGCGCCGAGACGTGTTAGCTCGGCGCCTGCATCGATGGCGCCGAGCTAAGGGTCCAGATTCTGAAATATTTCCTCTAGGAGCGTATTTGTGAAAAACTTTCAAAAATTCTTATGTCTCAGTCTCACACCGTGTCCCGAAGTTGTTTGGCAAGTATTGGGAGCCGAGAAGAAGATCATCGAGGTTAGAAAATCTCCAACATTTCGGTACAAAAACTAATCTTGATTTTTTTGTAAGACTAGAAAAGTCTAACTCCAACAATTTTCTATTTTAACTCTTGATCTATCTGTACTTAGAAAAAAGAAGGCATCCCATACGCGCACGATCGACCGGTACTCCTAATTATGATGGGGCATTGTCTTTTTTCTTGTGCACTCTGACTGCGGCTTCCTAGATGTTCACTGGAATTGAATCTATGGTCGCTATTTTCACATATGAGAAAACTGAGAAATAGAACAAGCAAAAGAGATTCGGTTTTCTACGTTCTAGTTGTTAGGATGTCGTAATGACCGGCAACAGTTATCCATAGATACAAGGATGACCGCCACTGCCACTTGGAGGTTCATCGAAATTGGATCTCAAGTCACTATTTTCAAATTTGAGAATATTGGGAGATGAGGCAGGGAATGTAGATCCTGTTTTGGAGGTTCTATACTAGGTGTGAGTTTGGTGCAGGGATGGCCGACTCTAAGTCTGGTGCGTGAGCAACTCTAGCAAGGCCTCAAATAAACCCTTAAACAAATTTGAAGGCTTAAACAAAAAACACAGGCCGGTTCAGCAGGCCCTACAAGAGCCCAAAAATAAGAGATCCTCAAATAACCCTAGGCAGCCCTCATTCCTAGGGCTCTCCACCCGGTCCCTACTTGGCCTTTGGAGCTACTTCCCACCTGCCTGACTCCTTTCCTTTCGGGCAAGATCCTACTCCCCCAACGAATCTTCCTCAGCCGCACGTGGCTCTCCTCTCTGGCAAGCTCCCTCAGGCTGGTGTGGCGCCCCTCTCTGGCGAGCTCCCTCAGCCACATGGCTCCTCTCCTTCCCGGTGTGGACCCAATCGCTCTCCAACGAGTACCCCGGCTACACAGCTCCTCTCCTGAGCGACATCCCACTCACATAGCTCCACTCCCCAACGAGCTCTCTCGACTGCGTGGCTCTCTACTCCCAGCGAGGTCCCGGCGCTTCTCCCAGCGACTAGAGACCCGAGCCACATAACCTCTTGGGAAATCCAAGCACATCTTCTCTCTTCCCATCCCAATTGCTCCTCGCCGGCTTCCCCGACGTTGTCTGATGCTCCACTCCACCTCTCGGCGTTCCTGGTCCAGCCACTCCTCCTGGCGACCTCGCTCGAAGCGGCTGCTCCGCGAGATCTCGACACGGCTTGCCTCCCGAAGAGGCTCATCAGGGAGATATCGATGTTGCTCCTCTGCTCTGAACATGCATAGCTAGATAGGTAAGAGAGAGGAAGAGAGAAGAAGAGGGGATGCCGAGTGGACCCCTTGTGTCATTGTCTGTTGGGATAAATTTAAGAGCACTGATTTGAGAGCTCACATGTTGGAACAGATGAAAAAATAGGCTCTCAAAAACAGGAGCATCCCTCGAATCATTTGAAGAGTCATTTGAATAAAAAATGTTTTCTATATCTTCTAGTCTCCAACAACTTTTCTATATTTTGTGTGCACTCTAGAGAGCCATCCTCACTCTCCATATTAATTTTTAGCTAGTGAGAAACCTAGAATAATGATGACTATATATTTAAATATCTAATTAAACAAGTTATTGGAGTGTATATTTTCATCAAAATCTCTATTTCTAACTATTATAAAAAAGATATAGAAAGTCTCTTGAAATCGTCGTAACCAAGTACCAAACATACGTTGCACGTCACAGGTACCGCATTCCCATTCATAGCTGCTGGACTTCGATCGTGGACTCTGAGTTCATGAAATTCCAGTCAGAGCTGCTCTGCTGGATGTGACTTCTCTTGGAGTCACGTATCATCCATGGATTCAGTCAGTCAGCGCGGCTACTTATAATCTGGAAACATGATGACATAATGCGCACGGTTTTAAATTTTACAATCTAAATCTTCTTAGTTACTAGTAGCATCTTGTGAGACCATGAAATCTCCTGTGCAAGGACAAGGAGTATCCCTGGTCATGGCGGCAGCAACCATCAAATTTCTCTACCGTCTTGCTCTGACACTCTCCATGCTCCTTACCTCCGCCGCCGGCATTGTGTCTGACACGACGCTCGTCAACAATGTCTCCAACATCACCGATGGCGAGACGGTGGTCTCTGTGGGTGGCTCATTCACGCTGGGGTTCTTCGCCCCGACCGGGGCCCCAACCAAGAGATACCTCGGAATCTGGTTCACCGCGTCCCCGGAGGCTGTCTGCTGGGTGGCCAACCGTGATAGGCCACTCAACGACACCTCCGGCGTACTGGTGATCGGCAGCGCTCGGGGCCTTCTCCTTCTCGACGGCTCTGGCCAGACCGCGTGGTCTTCCAACACGACGGCCGCCACTGCGGTGACCCAGTTTCTTGAGTCAGGCAACCTGGTCGTGCGCGAGCAGAGCAGCGGCAGCATCCTCTGGCAATCGTTCGATCATCCGTCGAACACCTTGCTCGCCGGCATGAGGCTCGGCAAGAACCCACAGACCGGAGACGAGTGGCCTCTCACGTCGTGGCGTGCGCCAAACGATCCGAGTCCAGGGGACTATCGCCTGGTACTGGACACCAAGGGCCTGCCGGCGATCGTCTCGTGGCAAGGCAAAGTCAAGACGTACACCACGGGCCCGTGGATCGGCCCGAGGTTCAGCGGCATCCCGGAGATAGCGTCCTACTCCGGGATGTTCTCCGTCCAGGTTGTTGTCCGCCCCGACGAGGTGGCCTACATGGTCACCGCCATGCCCGGCGCGCCCTTCTCCCGCCTCGTAGTGAACGACGACGGGACGGTGGAGCGTCTGGCGTGGGAGCCGGTCAGCCGGGTCTGGAACGTCTGGTTGCAGTCGCCACGGGACCTCTGCGACAGCTACGCCAAGTGCGGCGCGTTCGGCCTGTGCAACTCGGCCACCGCGTCCACGCAGTTCTGCAGCTGCATAGACGGGTTCAGCCCGGCATCGCCGTCACAGTGGTCCATGAGGGAGACCTCCGGTGGTTGCCGTCGGCACACGCCGCTGGAGTGCATCAACGGGACGACGACGGATGGGTTCATGGTGTTGGGAGGAGTGAAACTCCCCGACACCGACAACACGACGGTGGACATGAGCGCGACGCTGGAGCAGTGCAGGGCGAGGTGCCTCGCCAACTGCTCGTGCGTAGCGTACGCCGCCGCCGACATCCGAGGCAGAGACGGTGGCAGTGGCTGCGTCATGTGGACGGATGGCATCGTGGACGTTCGTTACGTGGACAAAGGGCAGGATCTCTATGTGAGGCTGTCAAAGTCTGAATTTGGTAAGCACAAAACTTCTAACTTTACCAGTTACTCTAGATTTAACATTCTTTCATCTTGTCAACTAGTACGAATTAATATTCTTCTTTGTAACACATTTCTGCAGCTACAGGGAAGAGGAGGGATGTGGCAAGAATCGTGGTTCCAGTTACGGTATCTCTGCTTGCACTCACGTCTGCGGCTATGTACCTTGTTTGGATATGCAGGCATAGAGGTAGAGCCACCCCACTGATATTCCTTCAAGGCCAACGTCGAAACAATGATGTCCAGACGAACGCGATGATAGGTTCCTTAAGTGCGCCAAATGACCTTGGTGATGATGATTTTGATCTTCCATTTGTTAGCTTTGGAGATATTGTTTCTGCAACTAACAATTTTTCTGAAAACAATATGCTCGGACAAGGAGGTTTCGGGAAGGTTTATAAGGTAACCACAGTAAAATTTATACAAAACTACAGTACTAAGAAACTTTATCATTGTTTGTTGAGTATAAGAACGACAAAATCATGCAGGGCATGCTGGACGATAACAAAGAAGTTGCAATCAAGAGGCTTGGAAAGGGTTCTAGACAAGGAGCAGAGGAATTCAGAAATGAAGTTCTTCTAATAGCCAAATTGCAGCACAGAAACCTTGTAAGACTTCTTGGTTACTGCATCCATGGAGACGAGAAGCTGCTGGTTTATGAGTATTTACCAAACAAAAGCTTGGATTCCTTCATTTTTGGTATGTTTAGACTAAATTACATTTAGCAAGAAAACAGTGAGTAGACAAATAGTCATAGTTACCACTTATCACTGGAATTTTCTTGCTTACTCACAATACAATACTGTACAGATGCTGCCGGTAAACATGTCGTTGATTGGCCAACAAGGTTCAAGATAATCAAAGGAGTATCTAGAGGAATTCTTTATCTCCATCAAGATTCGAGGTGGACTGTAATTCATAGAGATCTAAAGTCAAGCAACATACTGTTGGATACAGATATGAGTCCTAAGATATCGGATTTTGGTATGGCACGAATCTTCAGCGGAAATGAACAAGAAGACAATACTAATCGAGTTGTTGGGACGTAGTGAGTAATTAATATGCATTGATGTTTGAAACTAATTTTTATTTTTCAATATTTATCCTAATTATTTTTAATTAGCACTAATTGTTTATTACTTAGCGCTAATTATTTTTATGCATAACAGTGGTTACATGTCTCCTGAATATGCCATGGATGGCGTCTTTTCTATCAAGTCTGATACATATAGCTTTGGTGTCATACTCTTGGAGATTATAAGTGGTTTGAGCATCACTGCAACTCGATTCACTGGCTTTCCTAACCTATTAGCTTACGTAAGTATGCTAACATTCTTGAATTTGTTAAGGTAAAAGAAAAACGCTTCTGTTATATGATATCTTATATGCGATTAATTCCATTTGGTTTAGGCATGGAGCTTATGGCAAGATGGTAAGGCGATTGATTTGGTGGACTCAGCCATTTTGGAGACTTGTTTGCCAATCGAAGCTTTACGGTGCATCCAGATAGGACTCTTGTGTGTGCAAGACAATCCATACAGTAGACCTCTCATGTCATCGGTTGTGTTCATGTTGGAGAACGAAACCACACCACTTTTAGTCCCAAAACAGCCCGTCTATTTCCCACAAAGGTATTCAGATGACCATGGAATAGGAGAAAATAGTATCAGCTCTTGTGTGAATGACATGAGTGTCACGGTGTTGGAGGGACGGTAGATGGTTAATTTGGTTATATATGAATGCTAGTATGTATGAATCACTTTTTTCTTTTATAGATGTGTATGGTTTCTTTGTTTATTTTTTGCGATAGGAGATGTGTATGTTGTTATGAGCTTGTACAGTATTTTGGTCGACAGTTACATTGCTATTGGTTTGGTGCACCTTCTTACTATGTGGTGTGGCATAAGAGCACTTTTTCGTGAATGTGCCTCCGAATCTTCTTTGTCGTGCGATTTTGTTCTTTCAAAATATTTGGGGTGTTTGACAATTGCCACAGAGACCATCAATAACCTTGGATCATGTATCATACCGAGGGTGGATTACCGCATTGGTTATCTAAAATTCTGAACGCGAGGTGAGGTCGAGTCGAAGCCAGTAAACTTTTTAATATAGGATGGGATCAGCACCAATGCGCTAGGGATAGAGCAGGTAGTAATATAGGATGGGATCAGCACCAACGCGAGGTGAGGTGAGGTCGAGTAGAACTACCTCGTTTCTGAATTCATCAATACCCTGCCCAGAATAGAACTACCTCGTTTCTGAATTCATCAATACCCTGCCCAGAACCTTGACTAAGCCTTTTGACAGCAACTTCCTTCTCTCCTTCCAACATTCCCTGCATGATTGCATTCTTCTGAATTGGAAAATGATGAAAAGTACAATTCTTTCTTCAGTTTTAATGATTCTTTTAACGCATATTATCCTATAACTATTAATGTGAAAATTTGCCATTACCTTGTAAACTTTGCCAAAGCCTCCTCTTCCAAGCATATTGCAGTCAGAGAAATTGTCAGTTGCGGCAACAATGTCATCGAAGCTAACAAATGGAAATTCTTCATTTTTGTCTCCAAGTTCATTTGAGGTGCTCAAGTATCTTAGCATCAGTTTCTTCTGAATCTCCCTTTTTCGCCATTTCCCAGCTGGTTGGGAGTGGGACATTGATACCTTTTTTCTTAAAACTTGTACAGTAATAGCATTACATGTTGAAACAAGGCACTTATTGTTGTACCTTTGAATTTGCATAGGCAGACAAGGGCTATGCATGTGGGTAGCAGCAGGCATGCTACAACCGGGACTACAATCTTTATTATATTGGTCTTGGTTTTAACTGCCAAAGTAAAACTTGTTAGAATGTGCTGAGTAATTAATTAACTAGAAGAGCTACTATATCTCTTGTTGTTTGTTTTTAGTTTCTGAAGCCATTACATTAACTGGTGATAAATGAAGGAAATAGAACCGATCGAGGTAGGGAAAACAGAACCCATCATCACCCTATTGGGGGAGTTGCAATGGGGATCACCTGACTGGAGATGCTCTATTGCCATTCAGTTTTATTATACTTAATGCTTGTGTTCTTTAAATCACGTTAATGAAAATCTATTTTGAGTGGACATTTCTCACTATGGTGTATCTTCTGCTTCATTGCTAGATGGACATCTCTGCCATCATTGGAGAAACTGATCCTCTGATCAACAAATCTGAACAGCAGATGATGAAACGGTGCGTACCAGGAGGGTTGGCATGGCGGAGGTACAGCTTCTCGCCATAGTTGATGCTTTTCCATGTGTCGACAAGCTCCCGGTCCAAACCAAGCACCTTGACTGGTCGGCCATGGCACCGCTGCTGCTCAAGTTGGCGTAAGCATAGGCGGTGCAGGAGCAGTTACTGCTGCACTCGGCCGCGCACTGCTCAAAGCTTCTGTTCCGGAGGAGCACGAACTTGTCAGGAACTCTCATCCCGGGCAAGGCCACGAAGTGGCTTCCCTTGCTGCACCGCAGAGGCTCCATTCTCCGGCATCCTTTTGAAGAGTTGAGACCGGCGGCGACGGGCTCAAAGCCCTCGAGGCACTGGCATGCCGGGGCAGCTCCGGTGAAGTCGCAGTAGCCGTTGGGGCCACACGAACCATAGAGGCCGTAGCCACCGGTGGGGCGCTCTGAGACGACCGTCCACGCCGACGAGTTGGCGTCCCAGCTGAGGAGCTTCATCGTGCCGTTGTGGTCGAGCATGATCCGGAAGTACGGCGAGCCGTCGGAGACCGTGTACTCAAGGTAGAACTCGTCGCCGGTGTTGACGATGGTCTGGTACACCATCGAGCTGGGGGAACTTGTGTACATGCCGCCGGACACCGACACGCCGTTCCACACGCTGATGCGGGAGTACGGGTCGGCCCCGTGCCAGACCATCAGCTGGAGGTTCGAGACGGGGTCGAGGCCGAACGAGAAGTCTCCGGTGGACGGGTCGGCGGGGCCTCTCCAAGAGACCAGGCGCCCGGCGGGGCGAGCCCTGTGGATCATCTGGAACCTCATGCCTGGGAGAATGGTGTCGGTCGGGTGATCGAAGCTCTGCCATATGACCGTGCCGTTGGGCAGCTGGAGTACAAGGTTCCCCGTGTCGAGCAGCACGGCCAGGGGGGAGGCGTTGTCGGCGGCGGCAATGGCGTTCTGCGTCCTCCGGCCTTGGGAGTCCGACAGCACGAGGTCAGAGCTGTTGCTGATGGCGAGCGTCAGGGACGAAGCCGTGGTGGCTGGGCGGTCGCGGTTGGCGACCCACACGACGGTGCGATTGCGCTCAGGGATGCCGTGGAACCAGATCGCAACGTACAGGCTCGTCGTGTTGGAGCCGGCCGGGGACGGGGAGAAGAAGCCGAGCCCAAAGACGCCGCCTTTGGAGATGAGCAGGTCGCCGGGGGTCAGTGGCCTTGCGCTTGTCAACTGGTCATCGGATTTGCAGACACAAATCATCAGGAGAATCAGGAGGATGAAAATGGTAAGGCAGGTCGTGCCCATTTTGCCTTCTCTGTTCTACGCTGACGAGTCAGGGGCGACGAAAATGGCATCAAGATATAGATCAGGTTGTGGCACGTGGACATGGCCTGGTGGAGCCATAACCGGGAGTGAACCAATAGTCTGACAAATTTGATGAAAATGCAAAACGTCAATGCCGTGTAATGTTCTAAAATATTTAACAATAGGTGGTTGACATTGCCCGGTATTTCATAGAACAGAAGTAGACAAAGTTTTTTATTGTTAGAAGAAAAGAAAAGGAGGCTACGTGGCATGCAGGGGATAGACGGACCAAAAAATTTCCTGGGCTAATCTATCTCTATGACACAAGATGCCAAAGTATGTATTTCAGAATAAAATTGACCAAACCAAGGACCAAGATTAGTCCACATTATGACTTGGTGGATTAAGACACGAAGGAGCCAAGGAGGAAGGATCTTGATTCTTGACCAAAGCAATGATGAGCAAACACTCTTGCTACGTGGCAGCACCCCCGCATGCTGTTGTAGCCGCCGTCTGTTTTTTATTTCCTTTATTTCCTTTGTATCTTTTTTTTTACTTGCTTGCCTTTCATTCAACTTGAATTGGTCGAAGACTTATACAAGATCAAATCACTCACACATGCTGGAGTCACATGCCACCTCTCCAGGAGATGCATGGTACCAATACTGATATACATGATCACGTTGGTGCCCGCTTATAGCTTATTAGTGTAGCAGCCTTGTTTTATTTGATTTATTTATGGATCCACAGTCTGTTGTAGCCGCCGTCTGTTTTTTATTTCCTTTTTTCCTTTGTATCTTTTTTTTTTACTTGCTTGCCTTTCATTCAACTTGAATTGGTCGAAGACTTATACAAGATCAAATCACTCACACATGCTGGAGTCACATGCCACCTCTC